TTTTTTTTTTCACATCTGTTTCATCCTCATCTTGCATAAGAGGAAAAATGAACCAGAAGGTAAAGCCCATGAAGACAGTTTTCTTTTTGAAATTCAGATCCATTGCTTCTTCTGGGGAGAGGAGATTTTCCGAGAAACTCATTTGCCCACAAAATAAGCAGATCTGCAGGGTTGCACTTGCAGGAAATGAGATGTCCTCATTTGTGGCCCTGTTTTGTGACTCGGAGTAATAACACAGTCTAATATGAATGGTAAATGGTAAATGGCCTGTATTTATATAGCGCTTTACTAGTCCCTAAGGACCCCAAAGCGCTTTACATATCCAGTCATCCACCCATTCACACACACATTCACACACTGAAAGCAGCTCTCGAGTCGGATGACGGCGTGTTTGTGAAGGTAAAGTACTTCTGCTCACAACTGAAGTGTTTACTTTCAAAAAACCCAAATTGGAGGTACTGGAGGTCGCTTTCTTGCAGGGATTTTTAGCCCAGGTCAAGATCCAAACTGCCTCAATTCACCACTTAACTGACTGAAAATCTGTTTAACCTTTTCACATTAAAATCCAAATTGTTGCCCATCTGTTCTCAGCCTCTTAATAGTCTTTTTTTTTATTTTTTTTTTTTTATATGGAGTCACAAAGCCTCTGCTTCACTGCCTATTTCAAGTAGCAGCAGACTCTTGGGAGTGACAAATGGTGACCTTTTCAAGCCATTTGAGGTGTGCCGTTAATGGATTTATAAAAAATGTTATATACCTTTTGGTTTCATAATTTGGTAGTGAACCGCCAGCTTCTTCCCAGAGCCGTTAATAAGTGTAGCTTAAATTACCTGACCTTCAGTGTGGAGCAGAAAATCAGGTTACCTGTGGAAATGGATGGACTGAAGGTGTAACATTTAACCTTTTTACTTTCTTTTTTTAAATGAACAAACTCAAGTGTTTCATCCCCAGGTGTTTCTGCGACATGTGTAGAACTTGCGAGTTTTTTTTAATCCCTTTTAGCGACATTTTAAGCAGTCACATGCAGTCTGAAATGCATTTTGTATTTCAAAGTTAAAACTCAATTAAAACCTTAAAAGGTTGTTTTCCCAATATCTTATTAATTCAATTCAAATGTCTGTTTCTCTTTGTCATCCTTTATGATGAATTTGAAATTTGAGTATGTCAATCATTGTTTTTATTTTTCTGTATTTCGTATGTATAAGTACTGATGGTGTAAATGAATCTGTGATATGTCAAAGCTTGTTGATTTAAGTTTAGAATCTTCTGTGAACCGAAGTGGATCGTTAAAAATTGTATTCATTTATTCTTTTTTGTTCTTTATTTTATTTATTTATTTATTTATATTTAGATCAAACTTTCAGCAGTTAAAGTCAAATGAGATAAAAATACGGTAACACGGCCAATCAGAGTAGAAGTGGTTGGTTTCAGTGAAAGGATGAAGTGATGGCTGCACAAAGACAAAGTCTAAAATAAATAAGGATTATTTTGAACTGGATGTATCTGGAAATGTGTAACTGATGCCAGTTATGAATTATTTACTTATAATTTTAATCACAGTTAAATAACATTAGACATAATAGTCTAATAAAGTCTTAAAAAATGTTTTTCTATCAGTGGTTTAAGATTTGAATAATATGGCAAATTCTATTAACATTATTTTCTATGTATTATTATAATATTTATTTTCAAAAATGTGCTAGCTATATTGGACTGACTCACTTACATAGATTAAATAGTAAAGTATGTAAGCAGAGATTCAAAATGAGAAGGTATATTTCAGTGTGATAGTGACAAACTAGAAACTTAGATTAGGTTATAGAACATCTGTTTTTAAATCGCCAGTTGCCAAAACAATAGGTTTATATTTACACGAGCAGTATATTTACCTGATGATGAGTTTGTTGTTATGTAAAACTGTAAGTTTCGGTTTCAGAGGAAAACAACCCCAACATCTTTGATGTTTTGTTCAGGGACTCGATTGTTCAGTGGGGTAGATTTATTTCGCCCTAAATATAGGTTATATTTAGTTTCTGCTCTAAAACTCTCAGTCGTAGCTCAACAGGAATCGGCCGAGTCTCCCTGAACAGATGTTGTTTATTTTTGCAGCTTAGCCATCAGGATCTTTTACAAAGCAACTAAATTCCCATATAAACATGATGAAATTCCTGCAGACGACCTGCTGTTGTTGGAATCTGTGCAAATCAGACATGTTGGCTCTGCACAGCCAGGAAGCTGCATTTATTATACTTCAGTCCTGTAGTAATGTTACTAGACAACCTGCTGGTTATTGGGTTTGGTGTTCACTGCAATTAAACATCTGCAAACCCATTTAAAGTGAAATAAAAAGGGTATTTTTTTTTAAAGTCTAGTAACATTTTCTCTTATCAAAGTAATGAAATAATACACTGCAAACAAGTACACATTTTTATGTTTAAGCTAGCACTTTATCATATTTAACTGCTGTTTGAGTTCTTATCAATTCATTTACTTCCTTCAAATGCATCAGGATAGGTTGGCAGAGTAAAAGGATGGACGGTGCTTGTGAAAGACCTCCAGTGGACATCTTTGTAAATATGACTCTTTAAATTATTTTAGATATGATGGAAAGACCTTTGAGAGAATGAACATTTTCTCAAATGGCTGTTTCATCGATCGTGACAATCTCACGAACTGTGGTTAGATTCTGTTGATCTTTTCTGTACAGTCTGCGGTGGCACAAAGTGTTGCTACCAAGAATACCTTTTAATTTATTTCTTTTTAAACTGTGTCACCGACTAACAGAAAATCCCCCTCGACCTTTCTAAAGTGGCTGGATGCTGTAAGAAGCACAAAGCACTTTAGGAGAGCTGATCCGGTGGTATTGGAGAAGTCTCTGCTGACACGCTGCCTGTTGGAGGGGAAATTATAAGCAGACATGGCAGCCGTCCAGGTTATTGTCTGGGGGGTTTTCCCCTCAGCGTTCAGATTATCAGATTAGTCCTGGGAATTCATGTCCCCTCGGTGCTTCTCTTGTTCTCGGCCACTGAGCGGAGGTGAGGCGGCTGAAGACAACGTGCTGTCGTGCAAGTTTTACATTACATTTCCATCTGTAAACGACGCTTTCTGCAAAACTTTAAACATGAAAGCAGCGTCATCCTGCTCACACAGTGCAAATATAACTACTGCAGCAGAGGATTTTAAATACTTAAAGCATAAATCATCAGGATTTGACTCTGTCGAGATTTTAATTATTCATCAAATTGTTTTAATTAAGTTTCTTGGAAGCAATTAGACAGCTGTGAAATAAATCCCTAAACACTTTAATGGGGTGCAAAAGAACAAGAAAGGAGGAGTGAGACTGGAGGTTATGTAACCGGTCCTGTCCTCGTTTTCAGGCACGAAAATGGCGCTAAAGTTTCTGAAGAAAAAGACCACCAAGCTGAAGAGCTTCCTGAGAGAGTACAGCATCTCCCTCTACCTGTCGCCCTGCCCGTTCATCATCAACATGTACGGGATCGCCTTCGAAACCGACGACTACTACATCTTTGCTCAGGAGTACGCGCAGGCGGGAGATCTGTTTGACATCATCCCTCCACAGGTGAGAGCTTAGCCATTCCTGTAGTTTAACAAATAAGCTGCTCCAAATCCTAAGGAGCCAGGTCAGGCGTTTCAGACATGTCCGACTGGGAGGAGATGCCGGGCAGACCCAAGTTGTATTGAGAACACCTCAATATTCCCCTGGAAGAGTGAGAAGCACAGCAGGGGTGGCCGACTGCTGCCGACACGATCCAGACCTGGATAGGAAATCTGAGTGGATGGACGGTTTCTATATTTGATGTAGGTTTATTCAAATAATCCAGATGATTATCCCTTAATCCTCCTTGAAACTGAAAAGCCCCAGCTGCATACATGCTGCAAATTACACATTGGCATTCAGTCCCGACAGCGCTCGGGGTCCTTTTTGTGCCAAAACATGAAAATTCACGGACTAAAATGTAAAGCATTATTAAAATAAAAGGCCGTCAGAGAGAAATATTTTATGTGTTTGCTAAAGAGGTTTTTATAGTGCCAAGACCTAAATGAGACGACCTTAAAAAGACATTCTGTAAATTCCCGTCTGTAGTTAACGAACCTTACACCCTACAAACAGAATCCAGTGAATCCACCAGTATGAATCTATGTCCAGAATATCTGTTTTGTATTGAAAACTGATGGTAAAAACTGGCCCGTCTGTACTTTATGCTGGTCTGTTGTGTCCCGGGAAATGGTGTAAAAGATGTAGATGCCGTGACGTCACGTTTTGCCTCGAAATGAGTGTTCTTGTCGTCAGCAGCCAGCACTCTGCTTCCTGTTTACACTGGCCAAACATGAGCCCAGTGTAAAAGGTCACTATGATGAGCATTTACATAGATGTGTTTGTATAAAGGGAGATTATATCTAAAACTGTGTTAAAGAGCTTTTACCACAGTTAATGGGCATTTAATCTAACGTGACCTACTGTTAATATAGTAGATCGCAGGAAGTGCAGATGTTATCTTGAGGGGAAAAGGAAACGCAAGCACCACCTTTATTGTGTCATCTACAACTGGTTTCATGTTTTTCTATGAGTTATGTAATGTTCAGTTCCCAAAACACAATGTGGGCAGCTTCTCAGGAAGCATGGCGCCGGTAAGAAAGTGGTAAGTATGAGGTTTGTTAAAGCAAGATTCAGATCCTCTGAACTTTGTCCCATTTATATGTACCTAAACTTCAGTTTCATGTACATGACCTTCTCCTACTCCTCTTGTTCTCTGTTCAGGTGGGACTTCCTGAGGCGGTGGCGAAGCGCTGCGTGCACCAGGTAGCCATTGCTCTTGACTACCTGCACTGCAAGAAGCTGGTGCATCGTGACATCAAACCCGAGAACGTCCTCATTTTTGACCGAGAGTGCAGAAAGGTTAAGCTGTCAGACTTCGGCATGACACGACGCGCCGGATCACCAGTGAAGCGCGTGAGCGGAACCATCCCGTACACGGCACCGGAGCTGTGCGACACTTCCCGACATGAGGGGTTCTGCGTGGATTACAGCACAGACGTGTGGGCATTCGGGGTGCTGCTCTTCTGCATGCTGACAGGAAACTTCCCCTGGGAGAAGGCCATGCCCAATGATGCCTTCTACGAGGAGTTTGTCCGCTGGCAACGCCGTCGGACCGCCGCCGTGCCGTCGCAGTGGCGCCGCTTCACCGATGAAGCCTTGCGAATGTTTCGTAGGCTCCTTTCGATCGAGCAGGATCGCCGCTGCTCTGTCAAAGAAGTCTTCAGTTACTTCAACCAGTGCTGGATGCTGGATACCGAGAACGGGAACTGTAATGGCAGCAGCGGGGCTTTGGCGAGTAGCGCGCCTCCTCTGGACATCAGCTCATCGTCATCAGAAGAGGACGTACTTGTGGACAGACTGAAGCAACAGAGCCTGTCGCCTGCCTGCGTGGCGGCAAAGGGAGGGATCATGATGGACACCCAGTACTCCTCCATGTCCACCAACAGCTCGCCGTCCTCCACCGGCAGCTACGAGCGAGTTAACAGAGAGAACAACGAAAGAGGGCGCATCCTGGTGACCACGCCCATTGAGATCTGCGTGTAGAGACGGCGCAGCGCTGCCTTCGTGCTACCTGCTCACGCGTGTGTGCTGACGAAAAAGATTTCTCCGAGCGGGAGAAAGAGGTGCGGCGAGCGATGTTTGGCATCGGGAAACGAACGACAGTCTGACGTATGTTGTAGCTTTGTCGTGGATTTGCTCATTTCTGATGAAGATGAACTCTGAGGAAATGACCCGCGACACTCACACAGCTGTAGCTTCCTGTGTGTGGTTTCAGTTACAGGATTAAAAAAAAAAAAAGCAACCAAGAAAAGCTGAGGACAGGAAAACAAAGAAAAGCAAACATAATCCACAAGCAATAGGTTAAAAAAATAAAGAAAAGAGAAACTGAAGAAGACGACGAACATGGTTTGTGTGTAACGAGACCGTGACTTTGTGTTTAACGTGCTAGTTATGTTCACATTTGGTAGATTTGTTCATGTAAAGCGTTTTTTATTTGAAGTTAATTTATTTATTTATGTCACATAAATTTATTTAGTATTTATTTTATCAAGTGGGACCACAGAGCTGAAGATTGTTTTGTTCTTCTTTTTTTTTCCCCCTATGAGAAATAAAATTAATTTTCAGCTACAACAAAAAGAAGAATTTGTAGAAGCAGGTGGATTTTCCAGGCCAATGAAAACGTTCACCACAAGGTGGCAGTGTGGTGAACGTTTTTGCATTCTATCTTTTTTTAAATTATTATTATTTTGTATTTTGCTGAAAGACTCCTTCAAATCAAAAATTTTCTTGTCTCGAGTCCCCTCCCAACACAAATGAGCTAAGACTAGCTTAAATAACATTGAAATAGCTCGTATTAGCAGGATGCTACACTGAACCACAACGTGATGCAGTAAGCCAAAGTGGTATTACACTAAAGTACCGCCTTGTTTAAACAGTACAAAGACGGCTTGGACATTATGCCGTAGCTGTTTTTCTGTTCGTCCAATTCTTTTGGTTTTAATTTTAGAAGCTTTTAATGTGTTTCTACAAAATTACCTTAAAGTGGCCATGATGTTGTGACCGCTCATAAAAAATTTAAGTTTTTTTTTCTCATGTTTATCCTGATATCCAAAATGCTTACAGATATGTAGTCAACTTTAGCCTACCCCCATTATTAGGAAGTAATCTAAATGCACACTTTTTATGGTCTGTCAAAGATTATCTGCTAATATTATCAAATAACTACTAAAAAAAATTCAAAACAGTTTTTCTAGTTGCATGGTGCGAAAATGGAAAACTGTACCCTTTCATTGAACAGTTAGTTATTCTGCGATATGTTTGGACTGTTTTGGGGAGGCGGGGGGGATAAGATGTCACCAAAGCTGTTCAGGTAAAAGAGCAGATTTGGTATTTGGTGATACTATAAGTTGTCTTCTTTTTTTTAGTATTGGTTTAATAAAAAAAACAAACTGTAAACACTGAAAATGTGACAGGAGACACAAAATGCTTCTTATACCCCTTTTTTCTTTTGTAAAGTATTGCATGGAGTAACGTTACTGTGGTGAAAATTTGCTAAATAAAACTCTGATATTAAAAGACTTGTAATTATTAAATACATTTATAAACAGTAATCAGCAGATCTTACCTGAGGCAAACTGATCCCAGCGAGAGGATAGACTAAGCTTTTTGAGACGTTACTGACATGATTGAGCAGCTGGAAAAGGGGCCCCAGGTACCTTCCTGCAGCCAAACCTGGAAGGGGAACTTCTGGGTCAAGCCTTAGCCCATGGATCCACCAACCAATAGGGGACCCACTTTGCTTTATAACCAGACAGGCAGCCAAAGGCCAAAAAAAAAAAAAAAAAAAAAAAAAAAGGGCTTGATAGAGCCAACTTCCGATGTGTGGACTGGTCCGAGGAGTCTGGAACTTCCCATCTTTGGTAGGAAAGGAGCCCAAGCTAGTTCGGTAGATGGAGTGGTGCCAACTAGATATCACTGTTGGATAGAGAGCTCTATAATTGTCATAGGAGACCACACCACCTCAACAGCTCCTTTGGAAACAAGACTGTCCAATGCCTGGTTTTACTGGAGGTTTCTTCCCGTTTAACCTCCTAGGACCTGGTGTCCATATGTGTGGACGACACATTTTGGGTTGTCTCGACCAAAATACCAAATTTTGCTCTACAAGCGCCTAATATCCACTTACGAGGACATTATACTGCCACTGTTCCATCGAGATTTAAAACGAATGTCCTCATATGTGGATCTCATTTTTCTCTTACTTCGCAATATACATTTTCTGAAAACTGAATTGAAAAAGCGGGCTCTGCTCTGAGGTGTTTACAGATGGCTGAAACTACAACTAGCAGTAAAGTTACAATCAGAGACCACACTTATGCAATCACTGGTGACCAACAGTTGGCCACAACACAATGCAGGATGAGTGCATCACATTGATTTATGTGGACGTAAATTAATCAAAGCCCAGCTGCCCCACAGAACAAACTCCTTTCGGCTATTTCTATCAGTGACCTTGACCTTACCCAGATCACAGGTTAAGGTAGGAACACTCACCAACTGGTCAAGCGACCAGTTCACCTCTTCACCACGAGTGTCTAGCACATGTCCCTCTTCTCCCCAACATTGAGGGTTTAATCCCAGACTCTGATTTACCAATGACAGCAGGAAGTCTTTCTGTGTTTTAATGTGATGTCTGTGGTTTTTTATTCAGCAGATGAAACCTTGTGCAGTGATTCCAGCTCATACTCTCCCCTCTCTGATCATTAAAAATGAAAACTGTCAATCAGAGTTGGCGCTGGATTTTTCTCTGCTCGGCTTTGAAGCAGGGAACAACTGCAAGCTAGATACTGTCGTTTCATTTGATCAAACTGTGGCTGTATCAGCACATGCATTACTGCTTCAGTGGTTGAAAGCACACTACAGTGTTATTTTTAAGCCTTAGATCAAGCTTTGCTATAAGTCGGTCACATAGTTATGCCCCAATTAACTCATAACGCCCTGCGAAGCTGTAAAAGCACTGAGCCATGTTTGAGGCTTGGCTGTAATGAGCAGTGACTGCCTTCAAAAACTGGCTAAAGAAAGAATTACATAACCCTCCTACCTCTCATACAGTGTTATCCATACATCAACCACAGAGCTACAACAACCTACAGAGGCTTAAACCTAAAGCAGCTGAGCAGGACATTTAAACTGAAGCATTTTACAGGCTGATGAGAACGAGCAGGGTGAAGCGAGCCCTTCTGATGCCAGTCCGATAAAACAATCTGCCTGAATACAAAGGAGACGGGAAGCTGAGCTGGAAAGCAAATCATTAGGCATGTGCAGCATAGTAATTACAGCAGAGGCCTGCACTTACTGATCTTAGTTTCTCCCACCAGCGTGTTTACATATTCAGCAACGCCAGTGAGGCGTTTGCTTGTTTAGTTTTATCAAGAAACAAAAAGTGAAATACCCGAGGACTGGAGTTCACGAGGGTTACGCCGCTGCCTTTGATCTGCCTTTGTAGTTTGGACCTCAGGCCCTTTGTAAAAGTTCAGAAAACAACGATTTTATTACAGTTTCTCATATCAGCCACTGTACCATTCATGGAATCCATCCTTTTCTCATATCTCTGAACACAAAACCTTTTATAGCAGAAAACCTCACAAGCTTGCCAAACAGCTTCATCTGCTCAACATCAAACAAAGGTTTCAAATCTAGAAAGCAAGCACTCGAAATAACACCACTGAGCATTTCACATGTCGAAATATTTAAATGGTGTATATATAGCAGCTGGTTCAGTTTAGCGTAGTGGTAAGCCTACACGCCTTTGAAGCGGGAGTTGTAAGTTTGATTCCCAGCTGGGACATCTGTATCCTGTGAGGGTGCTGGGCTGGAAGACTTGGTAGTAAGCCCTAAGTGCGATCGTGATATCGGCTATGGACGGCTATGTGCGAAGATGAAGCCCAAGCTGGGCTCTTGCTAGAACCTCAAGCTCTTTATTCACAAAGGTGAAAATAAGTGGCAGGAAATTAATAACCAATTGTAGCTCAGGAAGTAAAGCATGGAGGATAGTTTGATTTGATTTCCAACACAGGATGCAGACAGATGTTACACACACTCCTCAGAGTAGTTGAGGAAAAATGTGGGCAGAGTTTTTGTAGTATTTAGAACATTTGTCCCAGACCCAGCATTTGGAATTGTAGATGAAATTGAGGCACCACCTTCATCAATTACCCTAAAAAAACCAAAGGATTTGATTTAAATGTCTCTCTTAATGCTTATTTTTTTTAAAAGTAAATGTTTATGGGCTTTTGTTGTTTCTATGTTCTGCTGATGTGCTCCTACATTACGTAACAAAGCGTTGCTCCGAGCGTCGTTCACGTCTTTGGTTCGTCTCGGTGTCAGCAGCAGTTTGTGCTGAGCTGCAGAGACGAGAGGAGGGCTGTGCTCAGCCCTAAGACAAGAGATCCGCTCGAGCAAAGCGTGGCTTGTCCTGAGGCAGGAAGTGAAGAGACGGACTGAAGAGGAGGAGTAAAAGACAGTTTGTGTAAGATTAAAGAGGCAAATGTTGGGCTGCTGTGTCCTTATAATTTGGTTTAAAATGACATTTTTACATTAAAAACCCCAACAAAGCATTGGGGTTTAAAAAATTCTTATCCATTTGTTACTTTTCTAACTCTGACCTTGTCCTTTTGTTGGAAGGATCTTAATATGGAAAAGTTCAACAAGCAAGTCATCGAAAGATCAAAATGAACCAATGAAAATGCAAAAGAAATGTTTCATTTTTAGCTCATGTGATGATCACAGCTGTGACTAAAGGTTTAGTTACCATTTCTTTCACTGGAACATCCAAACAGTCCAACTGATGTTCAACGTTCGGATTTCTCAGACCATCTAAAGGAGATGGGGGTCTACGCGCCTGGATGCAGCTTCTGCAGGCATACTAACAGTGTCTTCTGATTAAATGCTGAAAATTTCCATTTTCTCATATTCAAATGACCTCAAACAGCACAGCTGCACATGCAAAAATAACGCCATCGCTATGCCACTACCGCCGCCACCGTCTCCAACAGCCAGGCTTTTTGAGCAGGTGAGACCAGCAGCCCGATGATGATGATGTGACGAAGCAGAGGTGTAAGAAACTCCCAAATATAGAAGCCATCTCTGTGACACGAAGGCTATTTCTATCCAAATGAGTCAAACGGAGCTTCAGATATAAACTGTTGAACATAAGCGATGCAGCAGCTTGCGGCCCACATGTCCTCTACCACCGAGGAACAACAACTCTGAGACGATCAGTGCAGCTCTATAAAAATCAAAGCCTTACCTGATTTAAGTTTGGCCCGGCTCACCTTCAGGGTCACCTTCTCAGGCCTTACTGGACATTTTTAGATCATTCCCTGGAAGTCCTGTTCAGAAAGCTTTCAATGGTAAACATCAACACATTTGGTTGAAACTGAAGAAGCTGACATGGCTTTCATGTGGAGGATCATCTCTGGTAACGGGAGCTCCATCTTCAGCTACAATTGAGTTGGTTTGAGCAGCTTTGAAGCCAGATTTGAGTCCGTTTGAGTTTATCTTCTTCCCGAAAATGAAAATCAAGCCCATCGCAA